AGGGGGGGGGGGGGGGGGGGGGGGCGAAGATCTACTACATCATTCCGATCGCGCCCGGTTCCCAATCACTTCGCCCCGTGAAATACCCAGAGGTTCTCGAAAAAGAGTCCATCCCCCGGAGATTCGACGGAACGAAGAGAAAACTCTCCCGACCTCCGAATCCCGTTCCCGTCGGGGAGGAGTCTCGCCTCGCGACTGCCCTCCACTTCGCCCTCCTTCGGGTCTGTCTGCCGAAGCATCGCGTGGGTTCACCGAGGGTGCATTCGTGATAGCAGGAGTGGGTGGAAGGTGGGTGGAAGGTGGGTGGAAGGTGGGTGGAAGGCGGGTGGATTGAAAACGGAGGGTGGGTTGGGTGAATTGCAGGACGAAAGCGATCCGGAACGAAGAAGGGAGTGACGAAACGGTTGGAAGCCTCAACTCGAGTCAGATGACCGATTTCCGCCGCGTCCACTTCCGCGATCGTTCGCGGTCGCGATTCTCTTCTTCCTATCCGCTTAATTCGTCTCGGAAATTTACTCGGAATCGAGTTCCACGAAAAAGAAAATCCTCTCGGGATTTCGTCGTCCGTCCGGTGGCCTGCACTCCGTAAGGGGCAAATCTCCCCTTTTTCTCTTCTCATCTCCCCTTTTTCTCTTCTCTCCTCCCCTTTTCCTTTCTCCCCGAAGCAACTCGCGCATCGATCGCGAATCATCGCAACTTCCAACTTAATTCGGCTCGTTCCGAGACCCTCGAAAGCGATTCCTCTCCGGCCTGGATTTGTTTCCGACCGGAAACGAAGTCATAACGAAGTCATAACGAAATCATAACGAAGTCATAACGAAATCATAACGATACGATAACCCGTCGAAATCGGATCGGAGCGAACCCACTCCGACCAAAACGAATAAATAACAATAAATGTTATTTTGTTAACTATACTGATGAATCGGCCGCCGGCATGGCACCATCGGTCGCCATCGGTCGCCATCGGTCGCCATCGGTCGCCGGTTTGCAAGCCGCCGATGTTTAAAGAAAGAGAAGAAAAAAAAGTGGCTTGATAACTGATCCTCAACGGCAACTGGGAAGAATTCGGACCGTCATCCGTGACGAAGGTCACACCTCCCCCCCTTCCTCCCTCCTCCTTCCCCCCCTCCCTCCCCTCCTCCTCCCTCTGCGATCACAGATGAAAGACGATGGAAGACGGTCTTTGCCCCGATGAAATTCCGCGTGGGTTCTTCCGCACGTCGCAAGCGGCGCCGACGGGTCGCCGATGGATCACGATCGGCCGTCGGCCCTGATAATCACTAATCGCTGGGCCCACGCTGTTAGGATTTTCGCTCTCGCGCGATATTAAATGCAGTCCCAAAATATGCGGGGGGGGGGACCTTCCCGGATCAAAATCATTCGAGATTAAATCATGAAATCTCTGGAAAATCCCGGAAAATATGCAACTCCCCCCAAAAAAAACGTTGAGTCACCCCATTTCTTTTTTTTGGCTCGTTTCCTCGGCTTCTCCCCCGTGATTTCTGGAAAGGGGAAATCGCTAATGCGATCCGAAAAGCATGAGATTACTGGG